TTTGTGTAGACTGGTGTATCACATGCCTCTCTTCGGCCTTCTGCGAGTCATTTGCACCGGAACCGCTGTGTCTCACTAAAAGAACCGACAGTGTTGTAAACTTTTTCTTGAAGAGTCGTAATTTTACCAGGAATCTGATGGCTGTAGTTCACTAAAACACGTTATATGTGTGAAGGGAGGGGTGGGGTCACCGGATACTCAATTAACATCTGTTTTCTCTTAACATTTTACAGGGTCTGAATTTTATAATAACAATATAGCATTAGACAGCCTTGGTCCCCGATGTATTGCAGTTACATGTATTTGATGTTTTTGACTGTATCTAAATAACATCGAAGGGTGATTGGTAAAGTACAGTTATTTCCTTTTCATGATCATAAAACGATTTTGCAGTGGGGGTTGGTTTAACCTTGTCCTCAATCGACTCGACAAGGATTAATTGGATAATTTTCCCCTTTTGATTGTATCCATCAACCGAGCTGATTAAAAAGCAACAACTGTATATTGTATATCTTAGCTGCAGTCCATGAGGGAGAGGAAGATCGGTTTGCTGTTAGTCAAAGCATCTTCCGTAATCGAAAGTCGCATGCTTGGCCGTGAAGTTGCTGTTTTGAAAGCGGTGATACCATTTAAGAGCTAGATACAAACGTTAAGCTGCATTTTGTTCTATTCATCAGTCCATCTCTCTCTCTCTGTCTTTGTATATGCATGTATATAAGTATATATATACACACACATATATACATACATACATACACATATATGTGTGTGTGTCATCTCCCAAGGAGGAGTTCTTGTTGGCCTCGAGTTAACTCCAAGGAGGCTTCCCGTACTTGACACACCTTCAGGTCAGCGTCCAATATAAGGGAAGAGAACTACTTTGCCGTCCTGGGGGGATCTTATTTATCAACTATATTTTCGGTACTTCTAAGTACTCATGCCAGAAAAAAAGCATATATATATATATATATATATATATATATATATATATATATATATATATATATATATATATATTGAGTTCGACATGTCCTTATATCTGATTTATGCCTGTATATACTATGGAATTGTGTCGGGCGTGGTAAGAAGTCATGGTGATGAGGCCCAGGCTTTCCTCAAGCACCAGAGACCGAAAGGCCCTGGCGAGAATCCAGGAGTAACATGGAATGGCTCCGGACACCTTGATTCACCCTTCCTGGAGAAAGAGTGCAGGCATGGAGTGGACGGTTCCTGGGCAGCCTCCCGCCTCCCCTGGCGGTCTTCCGTTCATGTAATTTGCAATTATTGTTAGCTCCTGGTGTCGTTACTTATTCAAATATTATTTTCTCAACATTGTTACATCATTACTGTTTGCAGTTTACTCTGTTTATAGATATAGGTTACAAGACGCCTCTGAGTAGTTGTTCCCGCTCTTGCCATTTCCCGTAAAAGTATGCCACTGACACACGAGAGACTTTGTTAGGTTCAGCCTGTTCGGAAGAGGTCCAGACATGATATATTGCTGATCAGGCAACGAGAACGTAGGGTGAAGCATGCGCAGATACGCTATGTATTGCATCGTTAATCCTTTTTGTGCAAATGGTATGGCACCCAATATGATGTTTAGGTCAAGGATGCTGGAGAGACGAAGTTATCTACATTCTGAATAGCTAGCTTGCCGGAGAATGTCTTTAGAAGAGTTAGGGAGTTGGGGGTCAGGCACCATGCCGTGTCCTTGGTTGAACCGCAGAGTTGCGGTGATGAGATGCCTTTGTGAGGGAATAAATATGCGCACTGTCACACTAATAGTATGGTGTGAATAATGCTAAGGAGGAATGATGCTGACAGTTATTGTTATCATCGCATTAACACTCATTTTTCTTCGACGCGAATTCTCTCATTTCTAGAAGAAAAGGTCATAGTTCCGGTTACTGTGTAACATGTGAACTGAGCGACACCAACGGAAGGAACAGGATGTCACTATGAGCTCTTGGCTATCATGATGGACTGAAAACAGTGATTAGTTGTTTGTCCGGATTTATGTCGATCACCTTGCATGTTCAATTATGCAAAGTGCAATAATCTTCAGAATGCCAACAGTATAGTGATCGTATGATTGCAATCAAATAAATTATTCAAAACAAACGACCTTCATAACAAGCATAAAGCCGCGATTACCAAGTCCATATATAGTTTATTACGCTAACGCAAGTAAAAAAAAATATATATATAAATAGGAGCCTCAGCGCGGAAGGGTTGGCAGCCTGCTCCCATAATTTCGTCTGCTGCTCCTTGTAAACACGGGTCAGTCTGGCCAGAGCCGCTGCGCAGGGGTACTTCTCTTCTCTCACTCTCCTTTTCATTCATCCCTCGTCTTGAAAGAGATATCGGCTATTAAAGCTACGGCGGCTGCGTTATGGCAAAAGTGTTTACATCTTTTTCCCAGAATGTGAGATATTTGACTCGTTCGTTGGAGCCAAGGTTGTTGGCGGCTGATCTTGGGGGTCAACCCAGGTCGAAGGTCACGACCTGCCTCCTCAGCACAGGTCGTGTTGATAGGACGAACACAGGCTATCCACGACCAAGGTTATCGCCGCAGGAGGTATGTATGCTGGCCCCCAGTGCTGAGTACTTTAGTATCTTAGTATTTCAGGTTCGATCTTGTCTTATGCAGCAAGATAATATATGTTTGTTTTATTAATTTGGATTATATTTGAATTTTCCTCAAATTGATTTTGGTTAGTGTCACCGAGAGTGATACAGAAAAAAAAGAGGGAAATGGATGCTGCCATCATAGAGCATAAGATTTAGAGTCATAAACAACCCATACAGCTGCAGTGACTAATATTTATCGCAAAATTACAAAGATATTTGCTGCATATCACTGTTCAGACACTAAGTCCACAACACCCTTGTATAGCCAGAGTTGTTAACTTTGCGTTTTCTGTAATTTGGCATGAAATGCTAATGAAGGGGATACAGGGGGCTTGGAATTTCATCTCTGGAGGGTGTGTAGCTCATAGTAACAAACACCATTTTTAAAAATTATTTGTTCTATATTTCATTTCATAGATGAATGAAGGGGCTCTGTGCTCTTCTCACTTAATAATATCTTTTCTTTTAAACTGTATTCTCTAACCCTTCCACTGTATTCTGTTACAGAACTAGAATTTTCTTAAGAGCCTTCACTCTGCTAGCTTTTTCATAGATTGACTACATTTAAGAATTATGAGCTCATTGGTCTAGCTCAGTAGAAGTTTTAAGTGAATTTGGGTACTTTGTAATGGCAGGCACTAAGGTGGGCATGAGTAAAGAGTAGGTTATCGATGGGTAAATTACTTTTTAAATAATTAGCTTTCCAATTTTTTCTTGCCTTTGATGTCATCTTTAAAGCTGACTGTCAGTTTGACCACTGACCATGTCTACTAGTGTGGACAGGTCTTTAGAGTGAAAAATTTGATGTGCAATATTGCCAGTAAATGTTTTGGCTATTGATTTTAAATGCCATTGATTAATTCAGTTATATGGGTCATAAGAGTGTGTAAGACACTTGCTGCTGTGAAAATTGAATTTATTCTTGGTGTAATATTTAAGATATTTCATGATGTCAACACATCTCTTGTTTGATGTACCTGGGAAAAACATTTTTAACTTTGTACATACCAATAGTTCCCATACAGTAATTGAGAATTTCTTGCTACATATAAAGGATCTGTGTTTAAATGTAGCTTGAATTGCCTCTTTATAACAATTTAGCCATTTTGTGTAACGAAGCTAGACATACAGTGTATTGTCATGAGAAATGTTAAAGCAGCAGTTAACAGGAATATAGATCAATGAAAAAATGCAATGAAATGCAGGGGGAGAAGAAGTTAGATACAGTTGGTGTTATTTCTTTTTCATATAAGTTAGATTTTGTATTTTATCAGTTTCCTCTCCACCTCACTTTTGTCTCTTTCACCTTTATTGCATCCTCTACTTCTGCCACATCTTTCTTCTCCTCCTCTTTTTCCCCAACTGCTTCCTCCATTTTCCCCTCCTCTTCTGCCTCCTCCTCATTTCCTTCCTACTCTTCCCATTTCTCCTCCTCTTCCATCTGTTTTTCCTTTTCCTTCCAGTTTTTATCCATTTGTTTGCCATTTTCAAGAGCTCTACCTAGTCAGCATAATTATATTCTTAAGTTCTGAATATAAAGTAGTCAGAATTATACAGGTCAGTGATACCTAGTAGATTGTAATACTAATTTTCAGTACTGTAAATTCACTTTATTTCAAGAAAAAAACATGATATGAAAGAACACTGTTAAACTGCATAATACTAATTTATTGATATTTTGATAGGTATCTGCAATTTTACGTCAAAATGAAGGCATGGTGCAGCTGAACAGTGGAGGGACAGGATGGACAGAACAGGGCTACACATCATCAGGCTCTTATTCCATAGATTCTGTTGATTCCAATCAACTGGCTTCCAACTCTCCCATAGAAGATAAATTGGCATCAGCAAGATGCCTGCACACTACAGGTTTGTGATTAGTTTTAATTAGTGCTTGTTAATTTTCTGTCAAAATTGTCTTTTTTCACCATGTGTTTGTCTTTTTATTGGTTTCTTTTTTTGTCAATTATTTGCACGTGAATTTTTCTGTCTGTTTAGTAAATATAGTTTGATAATTTTTAAATAATAAAAAAGGAATATAAGATGGAAAGAGGTGTTTGCCTTTTACATCATTCTCATGCCTATTTATTCAGATTTAATTCTACAGTTGGCTGAATGAAGTTCTGGTAATCACTCAGAGGATGAGAGATCCATTTTCCTTTTTGTTAGCTTTGGCAAGTTCCACTACATGAAATATGGGCTCAGAGCATCGAAAATAATCTTAATGGAGTACAAGGTATCAGGTACTTCTTGTTATCAAATTTATCAGGTGCAGGTATAGCCTATGGAATGAAAAAGGAAAACATGTATATATATTTTTAGAAAAGCTGCACCCAAGATGGACTTGCATTATACAACTCTTTTGG